AATGTGTTTTGTGTGTTTAAATGAGGAAATTGATGACAAAGTAAATGTAGGAAAACGAAATTGGGAGGAGCAAGAATTGGGGTTGGAAGTACACTTGATAGAGGTGTACTGCAGATTCGACTTGAGCTTTGTAATTACAAATTATAGTCAATGAGGAATTATTTTTTCTTCTATTTTTGGTAGGCAGGTTTTTAAGTGTCCCTTAGTTCATGCCTAGAAGGCAGTTTCTTATTCTTTTATATGTAATTTTGGTTCTAGGGTCATCACTTGTCCAGACTTCTGTCACCCTAGGACGATCTTACTGATAATTTGGTAACATGGTACTAATGCAGTTTCCTAAACCTTCCCGTAGCGATGATGGCAGTGATAGTACCAAGGTGACCAAAGCTATGTACTTTTCTCTTATTTCAGTTTACTTCTATTAAACAGATGTTTACTGAACATTTCGTCTCTGCCAGAGTAGGATTTAGAATTTTTTAAGCTTTATTAAGATATGATCGACATAAAACATTGTGTAAGTTTAAGGTGTACATCTTGTTGATTTGATACATCTGTATGTTATAAAATGATTACCACTCCATAGTATTAGCTACCACCTCCATCCCCTCATTTAGTTACCATTTCTTTTTTTGTGGTGAGAACATTTAAGATTTACTCTTAGCATTCATGTGTATGATACAATATTATTAGTTAGAACCACCATGCAATATATTAGGTCCCCAGACTTGTTCATCTTATAACTGAAAGTGTGTACCCTTTGTTCAGTATTTCCCCATCTTCAGCAACCCCCAAGCCCTGCTAACTACCCCTCTCCTCTGTCTGAGTTTGACTTTTTTGGATTCCACATATAAGTGAGATCATATGGTATTTGTCTTTCTGTATCTTACTTATTTTACTTAGCACAATGTCCTTATGTCTCATCCAAGTTGTCACAAATGACAAGATTTCCTTCTTTCTGTGGTTGATATTTCCATTGTGTGTGTGTGTGTATGTGTACCCCACATCTTTATCCATTCATCCAATGACAAACACTCAGGTTGTTTCCATATCTTGGCTATTGTGAGAGTGCAGATAATCTGCGAGGTCCTGATTTCAGTTCCTTTGAATATATATCCAGAATTAGGACTGCTGGATCATATGGTAGTTCAATTTTTAATTTTGGGGGGGGACCTTCATACTGTTTTCCATAGCGACTACACCAGTTTACATTCCCAGCAACACTGCCCAAGGATTCTCTTTTCCCACAGCCACTTTAACAGGTGTGAGGTGATATCTCATTATGCTCTTCATTTCCATTTCCCTGATGATTAGTAATATTGAGCACTTTTGAGTACCTATTGATAATTTTATGTCTTCTTTGGAAACCTGTATATTCAATTCCCCTGTCCATTTTTTAACTGGGTTGTTAGTTTTTTTGCTGTTGAGTTATATGAGCTCTTTATATATTTTGAATATTAATCTTTTAGTAGATGTATGATTTAAAAACATTTTCTCCCATTCTGTAGATTGACTTTTCATTTTGTTGACTGTGTCTTTTGCTATGCATTTTAGTTTGATGTACTCCCACTGTTGATATTTATTTTTGTTGCTTGTGCTTTTGTTGTCATAGCCAGGAAATTGCTGCTAACACCAATGTCAAAGAGCTCTTCATGTTTTCTTCTAGGAGTTTCAGGTCTTAAATAATGTCTTTAATCCATTTCAGGTTTGTTTTTGTGAATGATATAAGACAGACGTCCAATTTCATTTTTCTGCATGTGGTTATCTAGTTCTCCCAACACCATTTATGGAAGAGGCTATCTTTTTTTTTTTTCATTGAATATTCTTGGTTCTCTGGTCAAACGTTAGTTGACCATTTAGAGTTTCTTAGCCTCAAGGTGCTTACTGGTTAGTAGAGACAGACACAAAAAAATATGTAATTATAACAAATTACAAATAGAGGTACTTGCAAGGTGCTTTAGGAGCCTTGTGATTCAGGGAAGATTTACAAGAAAATATGCTCAAGCTTTGTTATTCTTAGCCTGGAGGAAAAAAAAAAGATTTTCTATCATAAGCAGACTTGGTAGTATGAAATGGCTTGGTACCCACGGAATTGAGTAAACTGAGGAGTTGTGACAGGGCACATTTTGGGGTGTCACTAAAGGATTAAAGTCTTCAGTGGGATGGGGGAGATACACTTGGGAGTTACTGGCAAGGATAATGAATGGTCCTAGATATGTTGAGGAGGTTGGGTCTTACCTGGGAAAGCTTGTTAAAGGGCTTTAAATGGCAGTAGTATAGATGCATTTTTAGGTCCTAGGTAAGAAGCCGGGAGATTGTATATATTAGGCAAGAAATGATTGTCCAACTGCAGGACGAAATGATAAGAGATGGGGAAAGAGTTATTCAGGAGATTAACGAATAATTACATGTGGGTGAAAGGTGGGGAGCTAGGGCAGAGCAGTCATATGAAAGAGAAGTATTGGGTGAATTGCTGGGTTTTGCCCTCAGGTAGATGGCAGAACTATAAATGAGATAGGAAATACAGTACAAAATGGGAATGACTGCAGTAATAGCTAACACTTAGGGGGTGTTTCAATAAGCACCAGACACTGTGCTGTATGCTTTACATGTATTATAACTCTTTTATTCTAATAACCTGTGAAGTACATACACTGTCACCCATTTTATAGAGAGGAAACTGAGACATGGAGGGGAGGACAAAGTCCTACTTAGGTAAGATAACAAAACCAGGCATTTTGGCTCCAGAGCTAAACACTTGGTCTCAACATTGTATTTATTATACTAGTATTGTGACTCTTACTGATGTAAGTAATGGCATCAAATCCAACTTCTTGTTATACTTTATATCTCACAACACAACACATAGAATGATGATGGGTAATGCTTTTAAACCGTTACTTAAGTGGTTACATTAGTAGGTGGAATGTAGCAGTAAATGACTTATAATAATGAATTGGGTTTTGTTTTTTTTTTTTTGCAAAGTAGAAGAGCATTGAATTTACAAATGATTGATTTATAAACAGTGTAGCAATTGGAGAAAAGTGTAGAAATAGGCAGTATTTTGAAAATTTGGGGCAATTGCCCATTGTATAGATTGTTTTACATTTTTAATAAAAAGTATGGGGGGAATCTCAATATTAAAGCTCTTAATATTTTTCTTTGTTTAGTTAACCTAGTGTCTTACACAGAGTAGAAACTCAAATAGCAGGTTGGGAACAGGAAGAGAGGAAGCAGAGAGCAACAACTCTGAAGGAATGTTTTTGATGGAATAGGAGCCATGCACAGTGGAAGGTGGTGCCTTGGATGGGAGCACTGACCTTGATCAGTTTCAGCAGGAGGGAATGCAGAGTCTTATCAGTGGGTGTGGTACAGATAGTAAATGTGGTGGGAGTAGATAGAAGGCCCCTTTTATTTTATTATTATTATTTTTTTAGTTTTGGGGGGGGCAGAGGGAGAGAGATAGAGTCTTAAGCAGGCTCCATGCCCAGTTGCAGAGACCGACTCTGGGCTCACTCTCACAACCCTGAGATCATGACCTGAGTCGAAATCAAAATGATTAACCGACTAAGCCACCCAGGCACCCCAGGAGGCCTCTTAAAATGCTGCTTTATTTTCAGGGAAATAAGAGAAACAAGGTTATTAAGCTTTCATCTCCCCTAGTCACTAGAACTGCTCTTGTCAAGGACTAGTGATTTCCGTACTGTTAGATCCAATGGTCACTTCTTTTCAAAATACTGTCTTCACTTGACCATGACCATTCTCTCTTAGTTTTTCTTCCACCTTATTGCCACTCCTTAATCTTCTTTGCCTAGTGCCTCTTTATCTTCCTCTTTTCTAGGTCTAGGGTTTAAATAAGAACTACTTATTTCTCTGTTCGTAGTCGCTCCCTAGGGGATCTCATTCAGGCCCATGACTCTGAACACTGCTGGACCTCTCATTTGGACTCCAGGCCTGTCCATTGTCTTTTTGTGAATCTCCTAGGTCTCTCGCTTTATGTGTCTACAACTGTACTTTGATTCTCCCTCCCAAATCTACTGTAGTCCTTATCTGTAGTCTTCCTTTTCAGTGAATGGCCACTCTGCCAGGTACTCAGTTCTAAAACTTCAGGCAATCTTGACCACTTCCCATTAGCAAATTTTGATGGCACTGCCTTCAAAATCTGACCTTTTCCTCTCCTCTTTACCATGTCTACCATGGCTCTAGCTACCTATCATCTCTCATCTGGACAATTGTAGTAGCCTCCGTTCAGGTATCCTTGTATCTATCATTGGCCCAAAGTGAGTCTGTTAAAACCTGAATCAAATGCCATCAGCCTTCTGTCCAAAACGAACAGTCAGTTATCTTCATCTCACTCAAATATAAGCCAGAATCCTTGTTACAATCTACAAGGCACCACATGTTCTAAGGCTCTCCTCCCGCTTCATTCTGCCACCTTATGTTATGCTGTTCTCCCCTTTGCTCATTCTTGTCTCCATCATGGCTCCTTTTCTGCTCCTTGAACATGCCCGGCATTTTCTCTCCGCAAAAGCTTCTGTATTTGCTGTCCTCTTTGCCTGATGTACTCCCCCCACCCCACCCCAGATAATCAATATGACTCCCTCTCTCATGTTTTTCAGCTGTCTTTTAAATGTTGTCCTATCTGAGAGGTCTTGCCCTACCACTGTTCATAAACTGGGTTCTCTTGTCCCAGGTGCTGTTGGTCCTCCTACTGTGCTTTATTTTTCTTGATACCAGTTATTACCACTTGACCCATTATAGATTTAATATCTTTATTCTCCTACTAGAATTTAAGCTCCCTGACGATAAGGACTCTTTTTCCTTCTTTCTTTATAATATCCCAGTACCTAAATTAGCAAATGTTTGGCTCTTATATGTATTTAATAAATATTTATGGGATGGATTGAATGAACGAATGTTTAATGAATAGCTTTCCTGTTTATCTCTAAATGGCTATGTAAGTCAGTATTGATCTAATTGAGTGTTTTTTGCCCCCTCCACAGCACAATGGTCAGTTCTGTTCAAGGAAATACATACCCCAACCAGGCTTCAGTATATAGTCCTCCTCCTGCTGCTGCTGCTGCTGATGTCACTATATACCAGAATGCAGGAACTAATATGTCCCAGGTGCCGAACTATAATTTGACATCATCAACGCTGCCTCAGCCAGGAGGCAGTCAACAGCCACCTCAGCCACAGCAACCGTATTCTCAGAAGGCTCTGCTATAGGACTTGGGATTCCTCTTTGTGGCAAATATCTGCTAAATGCCGCTGACAATGTTATGAGGTTCTTTAATATCATAAGGTTTGTTTATCCTCAGCTTATAGGAATCTATCTTGGTCTACAGGTTCAAATATTCAAGAAGGTAGAACTCTCTTCAATTTGCACTGACTTTTTAGAGGTTCTCCCTTCCCCTCCCCTAGAGGATTGAAACTACTTACAACATTTAATTCCTTTCATAATATGAAAGAATTGATACAAGATTATTTGTCTCATGAAATTACCTGGTCTGCAAAAGTCAAACTTACAAAAAGCTGTTGTGGCAAATGTTATGTACATATATTGCTGTGTAACTTCATTGGTGGCCATTTTGAATCACAGTGGTGATCATGTGAATATATTTAACACTGTTAAATTAATTTACATTGCTATTTTATTTTAATCATGAACAACTACCATGTCTCATAATGTTTTGTGTAAATTCAAGATAATTACACTGTCCCTTTAAACTGCAAGAGAACGAAGCTGTAGCATATTTACGTGAAGGCATTATGTTGTCCATGTTTCAGTTTCACATTAAACTGAACCTTCCTTTGACTAATTGTGAGCTAAACTTATGTATTTTATGTCTTTCTGTAGCCTCTGCATACTACTCGCTGTCATCATACCAGCGTACAGTAGCTAAATTTTTGGTTCACGTACAGCAAATGATGATGTTCCCTTTTAAACTTTTACATTTCGGCATGATATTTCAGAATATTGTGGGACCATGAGACAAAATTAAGTAGGATCACATTCTTTATATCTTATTTTTAAAGGAATAATGTTGATTTACTTTTTCCTAGTTGAAGATAGTAATTAGATTTCTAAGCTGTATACTGTGTTTATTGGTGGCAGTGACACCAAAGATAGAGGCAATGGATAGAAATTTTTAAACTGGAAAGAAAACATGAATTACACTACATTTTCAAAGTCTCTTGTAATTATTTAGGATATAAACAAAATTTGATTCATCTGTCTTTTCCCACTATTAGTCTTTTAAATATGTCTTTAACAATTGTATCCTTTAATTGTTCATTAAAATGGATATAAGTAGATGTTTCAAAGTATTCTATATTCTGGTTTTGCTTGAGAGTTTGTATATTTATTCTTATCTTTCAAACTGGACTTTTGGGGCTCCTCTCAAAGTTCTAATGGAATTATTTTGGCTTCCTATTCAGGAGTATTTTTGAATGAAGGCTTTCCTTTTGATCTACATGAAATATGTTTTCCACTGACATTTTAATCTTCTTAAATATTTATCATTTCCCTAGTTGTGCTATACTGCTATTTAATACTATTTAAACAAATGAAAAATTGAATTCAGCATTATATTAAATGAATTGACTTAATATGTTTCACACCATAAATGAAAATTTAATTTGTATTTTCTAAGGCTACTGTAATCAGGTAACTCGTTCCTTTCCTTTTTGACAAATGATTCCATCTGTGGCAAGTATCTTAATGGTGACTAATGTTATGGGTTCAAATTTACAGCATTGTCTTCAACTTCATTATGTCACCCTAGTGTTGTGTTATCCTGAGTTTAGAGTATGTTTCCCTCAAAACAGTAATTTTAAAACTTGAATTCACACTTTACACTAAAAACATTTTTAATATATTGTTTCTTGATAAACATTGTCAAACAGATTATAATCTTTTGCACTCCAATTTGAATATTCTAGTTTAACTGATAGACTTTTTGCCAAGTCATGTTGTATTTTTCTCTGTCTTTTGATAAATTTCTGTTTACCAATGGCAAATGTATCATTTTCCCAGTTTATCTTGATATCCTTCATGCTGTAACATCAATTATACAGTCTCTAGAATGCTTTTTGACCTATAAAAGTCAATGAATGGTGAGATTTAAAAAAGCTGCCCTTATTACAATGCATTTACCTTTTTCTTACCTATTACTAGCCTTATAAAGGTTTAAATGATGAGCACTTAAAATTGATACTGTATTAGTTTGTGCTTTGCATTTATTTGGTATAAAAGTACCACATAGAAAAATTCCACTGGAAAGGAACCCCTGGATTTTCCATCATTCAGATGACCTGTCAAGGATAGAAATAAGAAAGGACCATTTAGGAGCACAGATGATTCTGTTCTGTAACCAGTGTATGTGTCATACTTTCAAAAAGTCTTTTTAAAATATAGCCGCCTCCTCCCTTTTTTAAGGTGTAGAATTACTTATAATTCTTAATTTATAATTTATTTAGAATTAATTTATAATTCTTAAATATAAATTTTATATTATTTATAATTATATTATTTATAATTCTTAATTTATTATTTAGAATTATAATTCTTAAATATAAATTTTATATTATTTATAAAATGAATTAACTATAATGTAGATTTCTGTGAAGCAAATTTTACTTCTCAGTTTATTTCCTTTATAGAATTTGAGTGTGTATACATAAACATGAATTTTTCCATGAGTGTATATACACTCATGGAAATATTCAGCCAGTTACGGTCTAGCATAAGTAACTGACATACCCATGGCCAGTTGGATGTTATAATCTTACCCGTGCCATAAACCTCCTAGGACTAATGTGTAGTATGTACTTACTGTGATTTTACAGTCTTCCCAACTCTAGGATCATCCTTTTCTGTACCTCTCTCTCCTACTCAGTGAGGTACCATTTTAGGGGCCTAGAGATTCCAGTCTTTATGTTACAAACTTCTGGAACTTTGTTTCTATACCTTTTAATTTTTGTATTTAAAATGCTTAATAGACCACTAACTTTTTTTTTTTTTTGTACAATTTTCATGTATATATGACATGTATAATTCAGCTCTGAAATATCTTTAGTCCAGAGCTTCAAGTTTATATAAGACATATTAGTGTCCTATATGATAAACTATGCAGCTTTATAAAAACTGTTATTTTCTGAAATGAGGTCCATTGGTATTACTGCTCAAATGCTCTTTTTAATACTTTAAAATCACTGTTTTCTTTTCTCATCTATTTCCTTGGTTTATTATTTTATTAGCAATTGTACTAATAATTATAGCTTTCTGTTATATCACTTTTTAAATATTTAATAACAAAAATGTAGTTTAAAGTTTTCATTCTTGTATCATTTTCTTTTCCTTTTTTTTTTTAATCAGCTAACTGCCTTCACCCTTCAAAATATATAGAAGAAACTTAGCTAAATATTTTCTGAAGGCCTTATGTTCAGTTATCTTTTATTTTAGAATCATGGTTTGATTAAGTATTCTTGTCAAGTATTAGATTATTTTCCATACTATTTATGATGATATGCTCCCTCCAGTTTTTAATCAAAGCTGAGTTTTATGTATTCTTTTTTAGTATGACCTTTCTTTGAAATTATAAAACTTAAGTAATTTTTTCTGAAGTTTTCCTAGATTCAACACTTTTTTCCTTATGTTCTAGAGCATTTTAAATTTTAGTATTTAAAATCATAGATTTCCTTGCTGAACAAAATTTTGCATTTTATTTGTGATAACTTGTGGTCATTCTTTACTTTGCTGATTTTCTGACTCTATTTCTTATGCTAATACTTCCCACTACCACTGTTGTTTCTTTGCTGCTTCTTGTAGTTTCTTAGAATTTCAGATAAGGATTACATATTAAATTATTGAGTCAGCATTCCCTGATAAAAGCAAAAAGGACTGGTTTTAATGGTCTTCCGGTGGTCAGAAACTTAAAAATAGGTATGTCTATTTTAGAGAATTGTATCCCAATTTTTTTATCAGATACCCTCATCAGTAACAAATATTTTTAAGTATACAGCTTCAAAATATATATGTATATGTACTTACAAATTGTACAGGTTCTACTGTGGCAATATATATTGTACGTGATGCAACACTCTGAAAAACAGACATCTTAGAAGAGTCAGAGAAAAAGAATATTAATAGAAATTCTAATATTTTCCTTCCATATCTCTGGTTCATTTTGTCTGTGTCCTAGGATGTGTCTATCTGATTTGGAGACCACTGCTTTAGAGGTTAAGATTAGACAGAGAGAGGGAGTGGGAGATTATTACTAAATTGGCCTGTTGAAGTAAGTATCTGATACTAAGTATCTGGTGCTTTTCCCAGCAACTTTTTATGCTGAGAATTTTCAGACCTATAGAAAGATTGAAAGAATTAATACATTGAACACCCAAATACTCTGTCTAGATTCACTAATCAATAACATTTTGTCCCATTTGCTTTATTTCTTTATGTATGTTTAGATGCACACGTGTATATATATATGTGTCTGTATGTGTACATACACACTGTCTTGTGTGAATAGAGAAGTTACAAACATTGTGAACCATACTCCTAAGTATTTAATCATGTATCTTGTAAGGATAAGTACATTCTTCTACATAACCTAAACCTTTATCACATCTAAGAAAATTAACCGTAATTCTATGATATTATTGTTATCAAATGTCCCCAAACTGTTATATATAGTTAATTTTTTTGAATATCCAGTAATATGCACCACATTTCTTCTTTATTCTTCATTAATCTGTATTAATCTTCTTGCCTTTTTTCCTCCCTGCTACTGATTTTTTAAAGATGTATACTAGTTGTCGCACAGAATTCCACATGCTGGATTTATCTCTTTATGGTGTTATTAGACTTAATGCTCCATTTTGATTATAGTACTTTATTACTTAATCCTAAGGGAATTAGAGTTAGAACCATATGATTTATGGTTAAAAATTATTAAAATTTTCAGGCTCATATCAGAAAACCGTACATAGAAATGAACATTATTAACCTTGAAGTGTATAACCTTAAAGTATATAACAGGCTGTATGCTCAGCTCATTGATATAATGTTATATCATAGCTCAGTAGTTTTGTGGCTTTTTTTTTTATCTTATTTATTCATTTGAGAGAGAGAGAAAGCACGAGCATGGTGGAGGGGCAGAGGGAGAGGGATAAGCAGACCATTCCCTGCTGAGCAGGGAGCCCCAAGGCAGGGCTTGATCCCAGGATCCTGGAATCACAACCATTCAAACCAAAGTCAGCTTTTCTCAAGTTCATCTACTGATTGATTCACTGTGATGGCTTTTTAAGTAGTTTTTAGAAATGTAACCAACAATTATAGGACTTTATGTTGTTTGTTTGTTTTGTTTTGTTTTTAAGTAGGCTCCATGCCAGTGTGGAGCCCAGTGCAGGGCTTGAACTCATGACCCTGAGATGCAGACCTGAGCTGAGATCAAGGTTTGGATGCTTAACTAACTGAGCTACCCAGGTGTCCCAGGACTTTGTTTTTTAGATGCATGCATTTTGGCATGTTTATTTTAAAAGACTTCTCATTACCTTATAGTCATATCTTCTGTTAAGATATTGAAATCACTGAAGAGGGAGGAAAATCCTTTCTTCTTAAAAGTTTTCATTGTTACTTCTTTTCCTCAAGTTGGTTACCAAACTGGAATCAGACCAAGTAAAATTTATAACCACAGTCAAGTTAGAAACAAGTGCAAGTTATAGTAATGTACACTATCAGGTTATTAAATAGCTGGGGTTAGGACCTTAGATTATTTCGGTTGGTTAATGGCTTTTTTAAAAAAAGGGGAATATTTGTAATCCCTTGTTTCTGTGGCAGGATATAGGAAGGTTTGTTTTGTTTTTAGGAAGTCTAAGGAATGTTTTCCCTTAATTATATGTAATATAATCTGTTAGCCAGTTTAGATGCCAAATACTATGAAACATCCATGTGATATGCTTTTTTCCTCAGAACCAAACACACACACAAGAATACCCCTATGCTACTTTGGAACTTGTACCTCCTCCCTCAGAGAAAAGAAGGTTTCAGTATAAGTATTCTTGATGTTCTGTAATTTAAAAATAGATAACACACTCTAAATGAGTTGCTTAAAGTGACTGAAGAAGTTGTAATCAAGGTTACAGGTAAATTCACTTAATACTTTTCAAAGAGGTGGGCAGCCTGGGTGGTGCAGTCGGTTAAGCATCTGACTCTTGGTTTCTGCTCAGGTCCTGATCTCCGGGTTGTGAGTTCAAGCCTCATGTTGGGCTCTGTGCTCAGTGCAGAGTCTGCTTAGGACTCTCTCTGCCTCTCGTCCACCCCCCTCCTCCCACCCCTTCTTTATCTCGTTCTCTTAAAAAAAAAAACCAAACAAACAAAAAAACTTCCCAAAGAGGCTTCACAATAGCCAAGTCCATTTCTATAAATGGTGGATGGCACATGATAAAACGGTTTCATTAATTTGCATTGTAAAATCTATCAGTTTGTGACCACATGGGTTTCTTGTAAAGGAAGTGGTGGTACTTTTCGGTTGAGGAGAAGAGTAAGAATAAGAACTAAATTAGATTGTTTACTGGAGTTCTATTCTGCTATGAAGTGGAAATTTCAATTCATTGCCCTAAGGAAATCAGAAGATTAGATTTTAACACAGATATATATCTTTTTTTTTTAATTTTATTATGTTAGTCACCATACAGTACACCATTAGTTTTTGATGTGGTGATCCACGATCCATTGTTTTCGTATAACACCCAGTGCTCCATGCAGTACGTGCCCTCCTTAAT